TTGCAGTTGATCAAGGGCAAGAGTGTGTCTGGAATGTAAAGTGGAAAGGGACCAAGCAGGAGACTTTCAGAGTTTTCACTTTCATAACTGACTCAGAAAGAGAGTGCCCTATAGAACAAGAGGTACATTGAACAGCACATTGCATGCTACTCATAAAGCAGTCATATACCTATTCATTTTTAAAATAGAAAATAAAAAAATGACTTTAAATGCTATGTGTGTTAGCAGCACAGTATTTCAACCAATATACAATGTTAAATGAGCACAGCTGTTGTGCCTCAATGATTCTAGGCACTGTCCTTTGGTGTTGTTGATTCTTCCCTGTGAAAAGCGGAATAGTAGTGATTTTGTCAAATTGCAGGCAAGTCTTTCAACAACACTGTGGGACATAGTTAGTCAAAGGGCCATGGATAGAGATGAAATGCTCCTCTTTTTGAAGGGTGCTGTATCTTTGGGACGGAATAATGAAATAAGTCATTTCTGCCAACTGTTCTCATTACCTCCCTGTGGCAGAGATCCATAATCCCTATGGTATTTAAAACTTCTATCACAAATAGAGTGGGAAATGTCATTACATTATTATAGCATGTGGCCTTCTTTATAGTTATTTATTTGTTATAGTATTTTATTATTTATTTATTTTTCACATGAATTGGAATGACTGAAGTTGAGCACCATGTACAATTACATTGCAATTCAAATAGAGGAATCGATCACATCAAAGCTATTTTGCACTACAAACAACAAACAACTTAAAGGATGAAGACTTGGAATTATACCTTTCAATCCCAAATCACTGACTAAATTGCAACCACTGGAAAACCTTTCCTTTTACTCTTTAAGTACGCATCTTTTACTTAAGATGTCCCTTGTCAACAGATTCCTAGACTGTTTCACTTCAGCGGTGTCATTCGTTTCATAACATATTTACAGACCAGTATTATACATAGGAAGTTTCATTTGTGTGACTTTGTGCTAGTCTTCTACAGTCAATCAAAGCAGCAGATTGCCCTACCTGCACCAAATGTTCTTCAATGTCAACAGGATAGTAAGTGCCCATCTCTTTAAGTACAATGGTTTCAAATATACTCACAACCGAGGTACTTCAATGGCAGCATCATCTCTCTACAATTTGGGACTGAAAACTCTCAGGGACAATCAGTGGATAGAGCACACACCATCCTGATGGGTCCTGTGTTTTAGGCGAAACAGCTACAGAATACAGCTAATATAGCCTTGAATAGCTCCTGACCCTTGGTGGAAGGTCAAGACTGTGTTAGGAAAACAGCATTGTCTCTCCTCAAAATCTCAATGTCTTTGAATTTCAATTTGATCTAAAACCAGAGATGATTTATTTTTGTAAATGAAGAACCTTCCACTCCTATGATAGAATGAGTGGTTCAGGCGAGGCGAATGAACATCATCTGCAATACCAAGTGAACTTTCACAAGACTATAAATGCTTCTGTAGAAAATGAATGACAGCATATAGTCCGGTGTCATGCTCAGCTACGCATGGATCTCTATTCCTCCTTCACCCTTCTTACTGAGCTGCCGAGGAGGATCGTTCGGTGATGGCAGCTTTTATCTGGGAAGTCCAGCAGACATGTTTTCTCCTCGGTGGCACTGAAGCACTTCCACTTATCAGTGTTGTTGAGGTGCTGGCAAGTGAATACCTACTTATTTTGGGTGAAAGCTGCACACCACCAACACAGGCAAAATGAGTGCAGAACAGAAGGATGAAATTATAATTTATGGTACCTGTAGCGCCTCTCGCCACCCCTGATTTTATAAAATCTCACATAGATTGCCCAAATTCAAATGAGCAATATTGGCCAACTACTTACCAAACTGTGTCACTCAACATTTTACCATCAGATCTCGCATATTCTGTCACTGAATCCCAGACAGTTCCTCTTAGTAGTGAATGAGCATCCCCTCTTTCTTAAGATTTTCCAATAGCAAGCTGTTATAAAATACAAGTTGTATTATACAATGTAGGAAACCAATAATAAAGGATATAGCAGGTAAATCTTCAAGATGCTGTGTGCCATGACTGGAAAGTCTATGATTCTCTAAGCAGATTGCCCTCTCCCCACACCTCGGTGTATCGCATATTTCATTCCTGGAGGGAGCAAAAGATTATTACAATAATTAACATACAAGTAAATGATGACACCGTTAACACATTTCATTAGCTCAAACTTTCATTCAATGTTTGTGGTGCACTTGGTATTGCATTACAATGAATCGAATTCATTAAATTATGAAAATGACAGGTACCACAAAATGGACGTGTCCTTTTAACATTTATAGACCACATTTTCTGACTCCCGTTTGCAGCAAATTGACTCAGACTCAAAACCATATGCGCTTTTCACTCTGATTTGTCGGATATAGGCATTCATACAGCAAGCTTTTAATTATGTTCCTATGGAGCACTGCGATAACGGTGGCCAGGCACAATGCACATGCATTTCTATTAGCTCCAGAGAAAAGGCGCTATGTAACACTATGCTGGATAACTTTTTCACACAAACGAGAAGTTACAAATTAAAACCACTACAAAACAACCTTAAATTGTCGAGCAATCTAAAATAATCATGTCGAGGCATGAGTAATAGTGTGACTGATTGTAACAATGCATACTCTGCTTTCAGAGTTAAATTAAAGTGAGCCTCTTTTAAAACCACTAATCTCATTTGAGAACAACACAGATATTCGGCCAATAGCCTGCATTCTTGCAGGAAATATCTATTGCATTCAATAAAGCACTGTTAATATGTCATTTGTACGACACCTTTCAAACACTTCTTTGCGACAAGGATTGAGAGGAGTGCTGCAAGGATTACTTGCATTTTGATAATATATTCTAAAACTTTCATTCATTTGTATGAAAAAATAATCTATCCTATTATAATGATTCCTCACGAAACACAGACAAAAAAATACCATGATTTGGGGGATTTTCACAAAATGTAATCCATAGAATATTCCTTTGGAGGAAGCCTAATTGAGAAATCATTCATAAAAGTTGGCATATGTATGACATTTTGGCCTTACCCAGGACACCATTGTTTCTGGGTTTCGTGAGGAATCACACTATACAGAGTTGAAGAAACCTAATATCATGTTCAAAGTCGTGAAACAGGAATTCATATACTAACAAAGGCTAGATGAGTGAAACTGCAGGGGAGTCTAGGAGGGTCAGAAGGTCAGTTTGTCTCCCCTCCTGCTCCTTTGGCTGCAGTGACATCTACTGGACTGGACTGCCAACAGAGAGAGGTGTCAACACTAAGTCCAATGACAATGTGCAGAAACATTTATGAGAACTGCCGGCCCTTGCAGCACTACTCCAATAACATTATTTCACAAATACTGAATTTCTCGTTTCAATATGATTATAACACTTGGATGCCGTCGTAACCCCACAGCTGGAATGCATTTTTGACCAATCAGATTGCCGTTTCATAGTATAAGATACTATAATAATATAATAGTACAATAAAAACAAGACAACTTACTACCAGGTAATGTTTAGTCATTTTAGTATGAAATAATGTGCTGCGCACAAAAAGTGGACAGAATAAAATACGTGAAATGAATACCAAATGTTACAAAATAAAAAACCAAGGATTTATAACATGACAAACATCCAGATTTAAACTTTTTGAGATTGTCATGTTCACTTCAAAATGTGAATCTGTGAGGTATAATAGTGTTTTGTTAATGACCACACAGTGTATAGTATAGTTCAATTATATGATGGTGGGCTTAAAGCTACTCAGGGCCTTATGAGTTCAAAACAACTTTCCAGAACATCACTACAACAAACAATCCCAGCAGCAGATACAATGCACACAATTCACTTTCTTCAATCTCACATTTCATAATCTGAATAAAAACATAGATACGTAGATATATTACTACAGGAAAGGGAGTCAAAACCTACTCCAATTAAAAATATATATAAAACAGAGAGAAACATGTACAGAGATAAAAGAGCATAACCAACACAGTTTCATGGGCAGTATACAAAGAGTTTTATACAAAAATATCATTATCAAACTGCAGGTGAAGAGAAGAGTGCGATTAAAAGAGTACCGCCTACTGCGATACAGTGACACCATTTCACTTGTCTTAGAGGACTGATTGATTGAGGCGCGGACACAGAATGGATCTTTTTACCTAACTATTTCATAAAGGGGGGGGGGGGGGGGGGGGGGTTGTCATCTAAAGACTCTTGACATATACAGTTTATAGAGCATAGGTAACATGGCGACAGCATAATTCACCTTGGCTTTTGGTCCATCGAATAACACATCTTCTACACAACACCCCACAGCAGCCCTAGGGACTACAGGGGAGGATTGCTCTACCGTGCAACCTGACAGTACTGCATGACCAAGTCACCCTGAGATTACAGTCAAATTTGGCAATTCAACACCTAAGCATGGCTTTTTTTTCTCATGAAAATGACTCACCTTTTTTGAAATTGGGAATCATTTAGAAATTGTTTTTACAAAAGAAACACATTTGAATATTACACTATACACATTTCAAAAACCATTTAAAGAATTTGGACCTTGGAATACCACAAAACCAATTTACTATGCAAAGCCTAATATAAAGAGCTGTAACACTCAAAACACTTGATTTGCAAGAAATGCATATTACATCATTAGATAAATTGTAGATGTTAAATAGGAATTATTATACAACATTCTAAATACACTATTGTTTTCTTTTTGCCACCTGCAATATTATTCAGGATGCAACTGAGCAGGGTGGGGGTGAAGCTTGCAGAGTTTTAGGCAAGCACAAATATAACACAAACAATCAGGAAGAAAGTACAAAACAAAATAAAGAAATGCATACTACAAAAAAGTGAATTACATTAGAACATTTACATGAAGACACATCTGGACGTAAGCAAGAAGTTACTTCAGGAAAATAACTGGAATCACACTCAATGTTAACTAACGTTTTGCTTAAATCTGACAGACCTAACCATGGCTGTCATTAAAACACATATCAACAAGGGCTTTAGACTGGCAATATCCAATCGCTTAATTTCTGTAACAATATTTGTATACACATTTAACTCAAACCTTTAAGCAATTGACAGTATCTTAAAAACCACATGCTGTTCCACCTTTTCAACTCCACAATATGATACAAAATAAGGCATTTTAGTGGGTATGTATTGTAACCACATTTAATGCTATCATTCTTCTTAAAAATATAATATATATTCATGTTTGTATATAAAATAAAAAAAAGCGGGGAAAATGAATGATGCAGAAGTTCATGAAGAGTTAATGAGTGTCACTGTGACTCGGCCCTCTCCAGGACTTCTCCGGCTGCTACGGTGACTAGCTGCAGGGGGATCTCAGCATTGGCCAGGATGTCCTGGGCATTACTGGAGCCCTGCTGGATGTTGGTGAGGATGAGGGTAGTGCCGCCCGCCGTGATGATGCTGTCTGACGAGCCCGCAGACTCCATGGAGGCCACCACCGCACTGCTCACAGAGTTCATGACTCCTTTCTTGTTCAGGTGTGTTTTAATGTGCTTGGCCAAGTGGTCGCTCCGCATAAAGCGCTTAGAACACTCCGGGCAGACAAACTTCTTCTCCCCTGTCACAGACAGAGACCAGACTTGGGTTAATAGTAGGACAGACCATACTACACTGAACAAAAATATAAACACTGAACAAAAATATAAACACAACATGTAAAGTTTTGGTCCCATGTTTCATAATCTGAAATAAAAGACACCCGAAATTTTCCATATGCCCAAAAAGCTTATTTCGCTACAATTTTGTGCACAAATTTGTTTACATCCCTGTTAGTGAGCCTTTCTCCTTTGCCAAGATAATCCATCCACCTGACAGATGTGGCATATGAAGAAGCGGATTAAACCGCAGACCACGTGTAACCATGACAGCCCAGGATCTCCACATCCGGCTTCTTCACCTGCGGGATCGTCTGAGACCAGCCACCCAGACAGCTGATGAAACTGAGATTGCAATCAAAGAATTTCTTCACAAACCGTCTCAGGGAAGCTCATCTACGTGCTCGTCGTCCTCCACCAGGGTCTGGACCTGACTGCAGTTCGGTGTCGTAACCCACATCAGTGAGCAAACGCTCACCTTCGATGGCCACTGGCACGCTGGAGAAGTGTACTCTTCACGGATGAATCCCAGTTTCAAATGTACCGGGCAGATGGCAGACAATGTGTATGGTGTCGTGTGGGCGAGCGGTTTACTGATGTCAATGTTGTGAACAGAGTGCCCCATGGTGGCGGTGGAGTTATGGTATGGGCAGGCATAAGCTATGGACAATGAACAAAATAGCATTTTATCGATGGCAATTTGAATGCATAGAGATACCGTGATGAAATCCTGAGGCCCATTGTCGTGCCATTCACCCTCCGCCATCACCTCATGTTTCAGCATGATAATGCACAGCCCCATGTCGCAAGGATCTGTACACAATTTTTTAAAGGTATTCCCAGTCATGTGAAATCCATAGCTTAGGGCCTAATGAATTTATTTCAATTGATGGATTTCCTTATATGAACTGTAACTCATCAAAATCTTTTAAATTGTTGCATGTTGCGTTTATATTTTTGTTCACTGTATATCACTTTAAATCACTACAATGTACTGTAATGCTACTGTACTAAATTATATATTTCAGAAGACAGAAGAGGATGCAAGGTGCAAATTGCAACCTACAAGGTAGGTTTTCAAATGTAAAATGTAATGCAAATGTTGATGTGAGTGAGAGTGCACCTGTGTGTGTTCTCCTGTGTCTCTGCAGCTCGTCGCTACGCGTGAACTTCTTCCCACAGTACATCCAGCTGCAGACAAAGGGTCGCTCCCCAGAGTGCCAACGCAGGTGCGCTCGCAGGTGGGACGTCTTCCCGTACACCTTCCCACAGCCCGGAATGTGACAGATGTGCTGCTTCTTCTTGCCCATGTTGGATCCTCTGAGAGAACACATACAAACACACTAATATATCAAAAAAACACACTCATATACTGTACGTATAGCCAAATAGACTTGAATTTGCTCTGTATTTTTGGCCTTTGCGCACCAATGCTGGTGACCGGTCAACAGTCAAGACGTGCAACTTTTCGGGGGCTAATGGAAGACATAAGATTATTTTGAGAAAGGAATGTTGTTACAGTAGGACTGTGTTAGATTGAGGGGGGTAATTGAGGTAATACAAAATATATGAAAACATTTATATTTCACATTCAGACCCCAAAACCTGTAATTTAAACATCATTAGTATAGGAAAGATTCCATCCAGTGATTTCTGACCACTATAAGCTGTTGAGCACTCTAACAGTAGCCGATATAAAATGAATTCACTCACCTCCCCCCAGCCTCTTTGCAGTTGGGACAGGTACAGGCCACCCTGCGTAGCCTCTTGCCTCCCTCGTCGAGCTGGTCCTCCTCATCCACTAGCCTGACACGCAGGTGGGACAGGTCACTGGTGTTCAGAGTGGAGTCACTGCCCAGCTGCCAGTTCTCTGAATCTGGCTCCTCCTTTATCTGGATGTCTGGAGGGAGACCAATCAATCCACACATCAATATGAACACAAGCATTAACAATTGCACGCTAAATGGATTGCAAAAGCCACACAGTGAAAAGTGCTTTTTCGCTAAATGCTTAAAAGATTTTCGGACAGTTTGGCTATGAACAAATTCAAAACCCTTGTTCAAACTTGACAATGTGTGGGATGGATAGCTTGACAAAACCATTTGATAATTAACACTCCCTTTAAATCTTCAAAGAATTAATAATATGCTTAAATTATATCTCACAGATCTATAAAAAGGGTGTTAATTACATGGTCAGAGAATTGTTTAAAGACCTGCAAAGTTTAGTGTTCTATTGTTAAATGTGTGTACATTTACAAGTCTGAAAATAATTTTCTTACAAAGAAAACAACAACGTGACATACAGATAATAATCTTCACCAGAGCAGCGTAACTAATGCCTTATACCTCAGGAGGCTCCTGTCCGATGACTCAATACTGTAAATAGTACTTCCTGCAGATTCTCTTTTTTTTCCAGACCCCCATGGTTTCCTATATACAACCAACAGTGTTCTACACTATAATGGTGGGCATGTCTTATTGATGATTGAGGAGGAGACTATACCTCCAGGGCTATCAGTGTCCTCTGCCTGTTGGAAATGAATGCCTGTCTGGGCCAAAGAGTTGACTGTCACAGTCTGCAGGTTGGGGATCTGTTGCGCTCCTCCCTGGCCCAGAGACAGGGCCTGCACTGGGGCCAGGGTGATCTGCTGGGCTGGGTTGGTGGGCAGCTGGAGGTTCTGCAGGTTCTGGACCCCCTGCACCTGAAAGGTCTGCCACTGGATCTGGCCTGAGGGTGTGACGGTCTGGGCCTGAATTATGAAGGTCCCTGGGTTGAAGAGCTGCACGTTCTGCCCACCTGCTGCCTGCACCACCTGCCCATCGCTGGTCTGGACCGGCACCTGCTGCAGCTGGATGATGGACTGGCCTGAGGACACCTGGATGTTCTGAACTTCGTTTTGCTGAATGTAGCTCTCCTGGAGACCAGAGGGATCCGTCTGCTCTGTGGCTTGGGTCAGAACACCCGTCTCATCTATGGTCTCAGGCAGCTGGGCCGAGGACGTTGGTACATACATTTCTGTGTTAGCATTCGAGTCATTTACAGATAGAGTTTGTGAGAGTTGGTCAGCTGTCTTCTCCAAATTCTCAGAGCTGTCTACAGGCTGACTGGTCATGATCAGCTGGCCATCAGAAGTGACCCCTGTTGCTATAGTCTGAGCACCAGAGAGGCCCAGGGAGTCCAAGTCCACACTGTTAATGGGGACAAAGGTGATGTTCCCTGGCAACCCCATAGGCACATTAGTGACAACCTGACCCTGGTTGTTAAAGGTGGAGCTGCCGATAGAAACTCCCTGGATCTGCTGGACCTGACCAGTCTGTGATATGAGGTTCTGGTTGTTAGTAAGGATGTCTCCAGCCCCTGTCACACTTATAGTTTGAGTTCCGCTGGGCAAGATCTGGATCTGCCCTGTGGCATCTTGGCTCAGAGTGGCCCCCTCCACACAGGAGGTGGAGAAGCTTAGTTGCTGTCCATCAGCTGTCTGAATGTACTGAATGTTAGGCACTGCGTTGGCGGAGGTGTCGCTTCCTGATGTTACAAAGATCGGTTGGCTCTGAAGGTTCTGGAGAGGAAGAACATACTGTCCGTTTGATGTCACAATCCGTTGACTCTGGATTTGGACCATGCCAGGTTCCTCGTTCACTGCTGTTGTGGGGGTCAAAACCTCCCATCTATCTGGGTTCCCTGTTAACTGGATGGATGTTAGGTTTGTAGTCTGTGGAAGAAAAAATATTGTTTTGGTGAATAAAACAATGCATTTGCATAGAAGATGCAGATTGCAATGTTGTGATTCATTATGTAATGTTAATGTTAGACATAGCAGTGAAATATTGACTTACATAAACTGCAAGCCAAATAGTTATTGTATTCAGAAATCTAGCCAGTTGGAAAATACATGGCATTAAGAGTTATTATTAAATACAATTTAAAATATATCATGTATTTGCATAAAAATCAAACGTTTTGAGTTTGGTGCTGCTTGTTCACACGATTTAGCAACAGATTTGAAGATTGGTTTAGAGGCGTTTCATGACCAGATTCATGTTTGTCTAGAAGGTGCATGAGAACCCTAATTTATAGTGTGTGATCAAAATATGAGCACACTGCATGAGTGCCTTTTGGGAATATCTCATTCACAACAGCACACTAGGCTGAACTACAGCTCTGCCGACACCACTCGCGTTCTATTTAAAAAAGATATCTAGATTTTGGGGTCGATTACATACATTCTAGCAGAGCCAGAGGTGGTGACTTACCACTATAGCACCGTTATCCCCCTCTGACGATGGCGACCCGATCTTGCTGCAGGTAGCTGCCAGCAGAGCGAGCGGTGATGGCTGAGTGTCCTACCCACAATGGGCGGGTTTAAAACGAAGAAAGTGGGTGGCCGTTAGTCCGGAGCCACACAGGAAGTTCGACTTTTACTACAAAATTTAAAACGTGTGAACTTCACAAAGCACCACGCACTTACTGAAACCCTGACCGAGAAGCACACGCGGACAATTTCTAAACAGTACCTGGTCTCCTGTGCCACCGTCTTGCTGCAGAAACTCGCGTTGACAGCTGTCCAAGGCAGCCATTTCCTCTTGTTTCACTGGCTGTTCTGGGGCTACACATCACAGAAAGAAGGAATCGAAGCAAAACAAACCAGAGTTAAGTTCAATCTCCACACGGAAAAAGGCAGCACATTGGTTTTTAGTTATTCCACTAACGTTATACACTTCAAGCTGGACTGACCTCCGTTACAGTTGCGGTTGTTGAGTTGATGATCAAACGGAAGCCATTTAGCTACGAATCATAAGTAGCTATGTGATAATTGTTGTGGCTAGCATGCAGGCTAACGTTTACTGTTGGCTAAACTGTTGAAAACGATTAGCCAGTTAGTTAGCTAACATTAGCTTAGCTAAAGGGTACACAGACATACCGATGTTATGTTGAATATTACATACCAGTCATTGCGTGAATTATTTTATTTCGCAGAATCTCGGTATTATCACACGCCAAACATGATTACATTAATCGATGGCAGCTGCAATCGTAGATTCTAGTCAATTTTTTCTGTTTTGATTTACTGTGAGGGAAACACAAAGGGTGGGGCCTCCAAGAGTCACGTACAGGAAATCCCGCCGTTCTTCTTAAACCCAATTGGCTACCGTCTTTTATTCTCTGCATTATCATTCACCAGTGTTCATGTCAGTCATTTTCTGACGAATTCCTTTCCTGTGTATTATTCTTTCAACAATAATAATATGGTGCCAGGAGTTGTGATGATGGCCGTTGATAATCGTTCATGTATTGAAGCCTTCTGCAGCCACAGTGGATTTTAAACATACTCTCAATTGCTTTCACTTACCTCAATTTAGATAACTTATATTGCGCTAAAGTAGATAATTAAAACTGTCATTGCATGGGGATTTCAGAGGCAAGTCGACCCTTCGTTTTTCAGGATAAGATGTGATGGCTACATTTAGCCAGATACTTACCTTGTGTTGGCAGCTGAACAAAATAGATTGGCCCAGTGTATATGTAAATGTTCACTCATAGCTATCGATTTAATAATGTCAATTGTTCATCACAGTGAGGTTTGGACTGTGGTTGTGATTATGTTCAAAGGAGCACCAAAATAAACAAACATAATTGTACACTGTTATACTCTATGTACATTTTATATTTTGCTTTCTCTAATTAATAAACTGTTCATTTATATAATGGAATATGGCTGTGGTATTTTAAATTCACGTTGATTTTGGAATTCTCATTGGGGTGAGCTCATGGACGAAAGATTACCTTTAATACAGTAAGCTGATACATTTTACCATACTTGCCATCATTCCTAAGGAAAGGTAATTTCCACCTTTTGCTTCTATCATTAAAATTAGCACAGAGGTCCTTGAATAAGACTGGTAGGCATTAGGCAAGGGAACAGTAGATAAACAGCTTATGTCCAGTTAATTGCTAGTGCTTTTCTGTAAAGTGAGTTATAACCTGTATCAAATTTCCTCATTAACTATACTGAACAAAAATGTAAACGCCACATGAAACAATTTCAAAGATTTTACTGAGTTACAGTACTTATATGGAAATCAGTCTATTTAAATAAATTCATTAGGCCCTAATCTATGGATTTCACATGACTGGGCAGGGGCGCAGCCATGGGTGGGCCTGGGATGGCATAGGCCCACCCACTTGGGAGCCAGACCCACCCACTGGGGAGCCAGGCCCAGCCAATCAGAATGAGTTTTTCCCCACATAAGGGCTTTATTACAGACATAAATACTCTTCAGTTTCATCAGCTGTCCAGGTGGCTGGTCACAGACAATCCTTTAGGTGAAGAAGCCGGATGTGGAGGTCCTGGGCTGGCGTGGTAACACGTGGTCTGCGGTTGTAAGGCCGGTTGGACGTACTGCCAAATTCTCTAAATCGATGTTGGCCTCCTGGCTTATGGTAAAGAAATTAACATTCAATTATCTGGCAACAGCTCTGGTGGACATTCCTGCAGTCAGCATGCCAATTGCACACTCCCTCAAAACTTGAGACATTTGTGGCATTGTGTTGTGTGACAAAACTGCACATTTTAGAGAGGCCTTTTATTGTCCCCAGCACAAGGTGCATCTGTGTAATGATCATGCTGTTTAATCAGCTTCTTGATATGCCACACCTGTCAGGTGGATGGATTATCTTGGCAAAGGATAAATATTCACTAACAGGGATGTAAACAAATTTGTGCACAGAATTTGAGCAAAATAAGCTTTTTGTGTGTATGGAACATTTCTGGGATCTTTCATTTTAGCTCATGAAACATGGGACCAACCCTTTACATGTTGTGTTTATATTTTTGTTCAGTATATCTTGTACACAGAATACTATATTAGCAAGATTTAATTGAAATATAATATCATTCTGTTCTCCTCTATGTCTGTGATGCCAGGCCCTCACCTCTTCTCCATTATTTGCAGTATGTCAGTTCCTCACAGAGTGTGACCGGAGTGGGGCCATTTCTCTCAACCTTCAACTCAAACTTGGCCCATTACAGGCAGACTACAAAAGCACTTTCCTGGCACTCAGGAGCTCACGCCTGTGAATGGTGGATATTTCCAATCACTCTGCTGTCAATCCATGTGTCAGGTAAACATAGGCCTACGGAAACAGCCTTTAGAAATTCTTGCAGCTATGTCTGTCTGTCTAACCCAAGGAAAGTTATCAGCGATTTCAACAAACACCTCCACGTTAAAAGGAAAAGTCGAATATACAGTACATCCTAATAAGAGGATACATCGAATACAACCTCCTAGAGGGCATAGTGCACAAGACAGGTAATTGCTAGAAGATTTGTCCAAGTGTTTGCTTGTTTGAAACTGCACCTATGATAAGGAACATTAGATTGTATTGGTTTTATTGACTGGTCCTATATCCAACATTCACCTGCTGAGAATGCAATGGGCAGACTAACAATACTTTTCATAGCAATTACCCTGTGGAAGTTTTGATGGAATACAGTTTATATTATTTTTATATATTTGAACAGCATCACATTTTTCACTAATACTGTATTTCAGCACTGCAATAGATTGCATAATCTGTAACAACAATAATAATATGCCATTTAGCAGACGCTTTTATCCAAAGCGACATACAGTCATGTGTGCATACATTTTTACGTATGGGTGGTCCCGGGGATCGAACCCACTACCCTGGCATTACAAGCGCCATGCTCTACCAATTGAGCTACAGAGGACCACAATAGACCACAATAGGACCACAACAATAGCTAACAAAGGGTTAGAAGTGCAAACGAGATAAGAACAAGGTTAAATGATGCTGGATAAGATTAATCATATTAATTAAAGCAGTCAACCCCTGTAAAAATCTGTCATTGTCCAGAATTAAGCTAATCAATGAGGCAGAGCATGTTCTTGGTCAGCCAGGGTGAAAATAACAAAACACACAGGCCATCAGCCTGACTGTGTGTGACAGCTGTGAAGGTGTCATATTGACAGTTGTGTCCCTGAGGGCCAGTCCAAGAGAGAGGTGACCCCATGGTGAGAAACTGCCATGCTGGAGACACCTTTTGAGACACTGTAAATGGGACCTCAGAGGGAAAATTGAAAATGGTGCAGGTGGGAGAAGTGTGGATAGAATACCAAATGGATCTGGATGACAACTTTGAGAAAGGCATCAATATGGACACAGAAACAATATACTGGGTTTCTATGAGGCACTCAGGCTCAGCTTTATTACACGAGCAAGAGCTCTAAAGTGTAGGTACTTATCTACTGTACTGTAGCAGGTTTGACCCTTTATGAAAGTCACTCCCTGATTGTCATCTACGCTCAATGGAACCCAGTTTACTATAAATAGGGCAAACAACACAGGCCTGTAATGTGCACAACAGCCTCCTTTCTTTTAATAAATTGAAAAAGGGCTATATTCTGGAGTGATGTGCCTTTGGAAAAATAATCACATTTCCTTCCATTTTGAGCACCGGTATACAATGTTACTTCATACTTTCTGCGGGAGAATCATATTCAAATTAATTCCATCCCTCTGTCAGATCAGTCTGTGACCTTTGGGTCTATCAATAAACAAACAGCTTTCAGTTGGTTCATGTAAAGGAATTCTTAAAAATGAATAAAAAATGAAAATCACTTTATTTTACATTTTTTACATTTACGTCATTTAGCAGACGCTCTTATCCAGAGCGACTTACAAATAGGTGCATTCACCTTATAGCCAGTAGTACAACCACTTTACAATGTTTTTTTTTTTTTTAGGGGGGGGGGGGGGGGGGGGTGGGGGTAAGCGGGGGGTAGAAGGATTACTTTATCCTATCCCAGGTATTCCTTAAAGAGGTGGGGTTTCAAATGTCTCCGGAAGGTGGTGAGTGACTCCGCTGTCCTGGCGTCGTGAGGGAGCTTGTTCCACCATTGGGGTGCCAGAGCAGCGAACAGTTTTGACTGGGCTGAGCGGGAACTATGCTTCCGCAGAGGAAGGGGAGCCAGCAGGCCAGAGGTGGATGAACGCAATGCCCTCGTTTGGGTGTAGGGACTGATCAGAGCCTGAAGGTACGGAGGTGCCGTTCCCCTCACAGCTCCATAGGCAAGCACCATGGTCTTGTAACAGATGCGAGCTTCAACTGGAAGCCAGTGGAGTGTGCGGAGGAGCGGGGTGACGTGAGAGAACTTGGGAAGGTTGAACACCAGGCGGGCTGCGGCATTCTGGATGAGTTGTAGGGGTTTAATGGCACAGGCAGGGAGCCCAGCCAACAGCGAGTTGCAGTAATCCAGACGGGAGATGACAAGTGCCTGGATTAGGACCTGTGCCGCTTCCTGTGTAAGGCAGGGTCGTACTCTCCGAATGTTGTAGAGCATGAACCTACAGGATCGGGTCACCGCCTTGATGTTAGCAGAGAACGCCAGGGTCACGCCAAGGCTCTTCGCACTCTGGGAGGAGGACACAACGGAGTTGTCAACCGTGATGGCGAGATCATGGAACGGGCAGTCCTTCCCCGGGAGGAAGAGCAGCTCCGTCTTGCCAAGGTTCAGCTTGAGGTGGTGATCCGTCATCCATACTGATATGTCTGCCAGACATGCAGAGATGCGATTCGCCACCTGGTTATCAGAAGGGGGAAAGGAGAAGATTAGTTGTGTATCGTCAGCGTAGCAATGATAGGAGAGGCCATGTGAGGATATGACAGAGCCAAGTGACTTGGTGTGACTGTGTGTGACTTTATTGTACGTTTGTTCTGCCTGAAGGTGACAGCAGTAAATCAAATGTAAGTTATGCTCTTCCTGTTGTAACAACCTCTCAATAGAATGTTACTGTGCACTGGTTTTGACATAATGACCTGTTTGGGGGGTAAATGTCAATGTGTGCCTTATTCAAGTCATTACTTTCATCTGATTTTGACTCCTAGTCTGAAGTACAGAATAACCTGGGCGGATCCGTCATTTGGATGTTTGAAGATGATTTTATTTGTGTGTTAAGTAAAGTATTATTTTTTGTAATTCCAAAACAGACACTGGGATCCCCTCAAGAGCCATTGACTGCAATAATTCTTCAGTATCCATTGAATTTCCAAACATGTATCCCTCGTGTGTCCATTGTTTGTACTCAACATGTCAAAGTTATTTATGTGTTCATTTATCATCCCATAAATTCTTTGTAATTTCTCAAGTTCTTTTGGGGTTAAAGCTGAGCTATTGTGATTTACAATAGCAGGCTTTGGTCTTTCATGACTGCACTTTTTAAAGCTGGCTTTCTACTCTGCCATTCTTGGTTTGGTGCCATTGTGGTTAGCCTCTGGGCGGAGTGGCACCACGTGATTGAT